GCGTTTTTGGTTAGTGTGTAAACATTTGTATGATTTCAAATCTTCATGAAATTACATATTTCTTAGTTCATAACCTACAATATTATTTTTAAAGGGAATATAATTCACGAAGCATACAACAGACTCGATCACAAGCACTGTTCCTATCTTCTGCTGACTGTGTGGTAAGTTTAATATTTTATAACAACATAATCTTTAATATAATTCATTGTTATACGCTTTATATTCACGAATCTCTGGGTATTTACGTATAATAAATTAATCGTCTACGGTCGTATTTAACTTTGCGCATTTACATTTTAATCTGAATAAATGATTCCGCGTCGATTATGACAATTAATAACGAAATATCGTCTGAGTAGCAGATATATGCATATTCGTCGGACACTGGCATAATCGTGAAACGACTCCCCCCCCCCCTTCCTCGACCATTGCGAGTGAAAAATGCAAGAGAAAAAAGTGAAAGAATAATAAATCATTAACGGTGCAGATAACGTATTACTAGAGTTCTCCACCATGCGTCTCTCTCTTTCCCTCTACCGCATTCTGTTTACTCTATGTCTTTCCATCTCCACCGCTTTCTCACACGCGTTCTCTCTTCCCATCCCGCCTCGCTCTCTCTCTCTCTCTCTCTCTCTCTCTCTCTCTCTCTCTCTCTCTCTCTCTCTCTCTCTGTCCATATGTATAGTGTCATAGTAGTATCCGTGTGTATACACACTCTCCGCTTCGTCTTGAGTACAAAAAAACACTAACGCATAACACTGCACCTACACTCCTTGTTTTTTCTTTCGAATTCTGTGAAAACATAACGTTCCCTACTTTCCTTCGAATTTCAGGCTCTGGTATGAGAGACAGAATGAAAACAAAATGTGCGCTTCTCATTTTTTTTTTTGATACTAGAAAATTAATCGAGCAGTTGAGTTTGAGCAGCTAGCATCGAGTATCATTATTCTATCTCAGTTATTATTAAATATAATACTTACTACGTACTAATACTGTGTTAGTGATAATTCGTGATAATCACTTATCAAAATTCTTCAAGAAACATTGCTTCGTATCGTTGCTATCATTGCGTATAATGTCCAATAATAAAAATCTCGGCTCGTTATAATTTGTCAATAGAGAATCAAGCGGGACAAACTTTGAATTTAATAGCTGGTGAAGCTGGCACGCCAGATAGAAATAGCCATAAAAGTGGTTTTTGTGAATTCCGACGGACGACATAGGGGGTGTAAGCTACTATTGTCATTAGCTAAATAACGGAATTTACCATTGTTTTATAGAATGCCAAGTTACCGAAAAAAAATTAAAAAATATAAAATTTCAAAACAGGTTTTTATTATTTTTTTTAAATAAACTCGTTCTTACTTGCTGAATTTTCACCCAATTACATCAATTTTTTTCAAAATGCGGGCAATTATCCCGCTTACATGTTAAACCTATAAAAAAAATTAGTTAATTATTAATATTAATTAATAAAATATTAATTATTTATGGCACTATGAGTGAACAAATTCGTGTCCCACGGTTTTTGTACATTCATCGACGCAATATATTTTGAATAGTTTGAGACTCGAATAACTTTCAGCGAGACATTTGTTCATTTATCATTAAAAAGTAATCGTATAAGGTTTCAAATCGATTTAATAATTAATCACTAAGCTATTTAGAGCATTTTTACTGAAGCCGCGCAAGCCGCTCGAGTCGTATAGTATTCCTATCTCTCTGCGCGTTAAAAACGCTCTAGCGTAGTGATTATTTATCAAATCGGTCTGAAACTTTGTAGGAATCTTTCCTATTGCTAAATGAACAAATGTCTCACTGAAAGTTATTCGAGTTTCAAAATTCCTCACATATATTTTGTCAAACTCAAAATTACTTGCATATTGAAAGAAATCGATGTAATTGATTGAAAATTCAGCGAGTAAGAGCGAATTTATTCTAAAAAAATTTAAAAATCTAAATTGAAATTTTACAATTTTTAATTTTTTTTTGACTTGGCATTCTATTAAGAAATGTAAATTTTAAAAAGATATTATTTATCATTGTAAACACGATGATAAGTTTTATAATTGTTTTCCTACTTTGGGAGAGAGAGAGAGAGAGAGAGAGAGAGAGAGAGAGAGAGAGAGAGAAAGAAAGAAAGAGAAAGTCGTCAACAATCCATATACGACCGATGCTTGTTTACACAAGTTTCTATGAAATAGGAAACCGCGAAGGCTTCTCGACGTACAAAAGACGGTCGACCGCCACGTGCTTTTTAGCGAATTCGTACGATAGTCCGGTCAAATGAGGAGCGAAAAATATATTTTGAGAACATTCTTTCCATTGGAAGGAATGAATAATAGTTATTTATGTGCGAGGAGCGTACGAAAGGCGAATGCACCTGAAGAGGATGTTTATAGCGCGGGATAGTATAAGGCCAAGGCAGCGAGCGGAGCGAGCTTTCAAGCATCTTCCCCAGAAGCATTCGCCTTTCGTATGCTCCTCGTGCTTAACAAATTTTACAGTCTAGGCAGAGGACGTATGAGGGTATTTTCGTGCGGATGACACTCTATCCTCAAAGCACTTCTCATAAGCACTTTTCGGTATAGCCTTGAGCTCTTCCAGCGATGCAGTCTTTATCTCTTCAATCGTTGCAATCTCCGTCCTTTTATAGGTCTCTTTAGTTTTGGGATCAAGAAAAAGTCACATGGGGCCAAATCCGGTGAATATGGTGGCTGAGGTATGATTGTGGTGTTGTTTATGGCCAAAAAATCTCTCACAAGCAAAGCTGAGTGAGCAGGGGCATTATCGTGATGCAAAAGCCATGAATTGTTTTTCCACAATTCTGGGCGTTTTCTTCGTATTGCTTCTCGTAAACGGCGCATAACTTCAAGATAAAACTGTTTATTGACCGTACGTTCATATGGTAAGAACTCCTGATGCACCACGCCATGGTAATCGAAGAAAACAGTGAGCAAAACTTTAACATTTGATCGAACATGGCGTGCTTTTTTCGGTCTTGGCTCATCTGGGCTCTTCGATTGGGACGATTGGACTTTGGTTTCGATATCATAACCATATACCCATGATTCCTCACCAGTTATGACCCTTTTGAGTAAATCTGGGTCGTCGTTGACGTCATTCAACAGTTCTTGAGCGATGCTCATGCGACGGTTCTTTTGGTCAAAATTTAGCAATTTCGGAACAAACTTCGCTGACACACGTCTCATGCCCAAAACGTTAGAAAAAATTTCATGGCACGAGCCAAGCGATATACCAACATCCTCAGCAACTTCTCTGATAGTGATTCGACGATTTTCCAGAACAATTTTCTTCACTGCTTGAACGTTTTCATCAGTTGTTGACGTGCTTGGGCGTCCAGAGCGAGGCTCGTCATTGGCATCTTCCCGGCCATCTTGGAAGAGTTTGTACCACTTCTAAACATTTTTTTTACTCAGAACAGTTTCACCGTATGCCACCGTCAACATTTTAAGTGTTTCGGAGCACTTTATTTTATTTTTTACACAAAATTTGATGCAAATCCTTTGATCCATATTTTTCGATAGCAAGAAATCGCCGAGCACGCAAAACACTTATAACCTTTACGCCTCTCACAACCAAACAAAAAATGCAATACACTTGAAACTTGGTACAGATGTTCGGGAAGAGTGAACCAATATAACAAAATAAAAAAATCGATAATCGAAAGTACGTTGCCCGTGAAATTTGAAAAGTCACCTTACTTTTTGAACACACCTCGTATATCACGTTTTCAAGACGTTTTCAAAACGTTTTCATCACCAAAGTCCCAAAACGTTTTAATGTTTTATCAAAATCGTTTTAAAAACGTTTTAGAAATGTTTTTGTGTTATTCGAGAACCCTGACTCCTCTACGGTTTCCGTATCCACTGAGAGATAATAACCTTGACGACTAAAAAAGGTCAACTGCACAGAAAAATAACATAGTTCAATATTGTATTTTTAAATAATATGAAAAAATGTGACACGAGCAATGATATTGACAGCCACAACTCAATGTCATTTCTCTTTTATATAAAATCGATGAAATATCAAAATATTCCACTCCACGGATTCGTGCATGAAATAAACATAAATGATTGAATATAAAAAGACAATCGATGCAACGTTGCACACGAATACTGAAATTTGTGGTAAATCTTTTACTCATTTACAGATTTTTTTGTTATTTTCATCACGGCAATCGCAAGTTTATGACAATGTACTAATTATATGCAATACCTTACCAGAAATATTTTGCTTTGCTGCTTCAACAAAAGATCAACGAACAAAGAAAAGATATTCGTGCTAAGCCAATATTACACTTCGAGTTTCGGCGCTCACGTATGTTGTTAACGAACAGGAATACAATTCGTTATATTCTCATAGAATGTTACTTGCCGGTTGACCGAGAAATTTCGCGGGAAACAGCTTGGCACGTGAACAAGTGAATCTGAGAACAAAGAACTACCGCGAACTCGTGGGCTACTCGTATCGTGTTTTCGGAGCAAGCAGTAAAGCGAGAGTGAGGTAACGCGAACAGCGAACTGGCTCGATGTTATTTGAAGGAGCGCCATCTCAACAGTATTCGTATATGCACGGTATTAACAAGTCGGGCGGGAAATTCTTATACATATAATTTTGAATTGTAACGTAACAAGGGAAGATGCCTTGTGGTTTAAATTAATTTTTTTCTAACCATTGGCCTCAATTACAAGTACGTCGTCTCTGCTATAAATTACTTGAAAATAGTGACAAACGGATATATGAATTTTCGCCGCATGCGCCACCATTTCTTCGTGACGTCACCCAGCACGCCTGTCAATTGCCGCCCAGTTCGTTTGTTAGCGGAACTGCAGTTTTAAATGGAGTATAAATTTCGTTACATTTATTAACATAAGTTTAAGTGGTTCGTAAAAGGCAAATGGATAATACAAGAATTTATTTATTTTTAATGTCTTACAAAAAACATATGAGATTGAGATTTTTTCGTGAACGAACAAACTAGGCGGCAACTGAGCGGCGTGCAAATATTTGAACAATTCTGTCCAACTGGGTAATACAAGAATTTATTTAGTGGTAATTGTTTACAGATCTAAGTTCAATGAAATTGAGTTGTGGCTGTTAATATCATTGCTCGTGTCACATTTCTTTTACATTACTTTAAGATGCAATATTGAAATAAAATATTTTACTGTGCAGTTCACCAATTGAAGTAGTCAAGGTTATTATCTCTCAGTGGATAGTGAAACCGTAAAGGAGTCAGCGTTCATACCTATCAGTTTGTCTGGTCATTACTGTGATTTGACAGGCTGTCGAGGATATTGGAGAAATTGTTACATGTACGTAGTTTTTATATTGTTCATCTATCTTTTTAGACGTTGCTCCCTTTTCTTAACAGAATAATCCTGTACAATCTTTTTAAGTACAAGATACAATGCAGTTTGTTTGTTACAGCTGTCAATATCATTGCTCGTGTCACATTTTTTTCACATTATTTGAAAATACAATATTGAAATATGTTATTTTTCTGTGCAGTTCACCTATTGTAGTCGTCAAGATTTTTATCTCTCAGTGGATAGTGAAACCATAGAGGAGTCAGCGTTCATACCTATCAGTTTGTCTGATCAGTTGCAGTTTTTATTGTATTTGTCATTATTGTTTCTATTGCCACTCGTTTCTCAAACACCATCAAGACAAATCTTATTATTGTTTCCAATGTGTAGAATACCTGGTGTGAATATCGGTCAATGCTCTTTAGAACAGTTTATTTTCATCAATTCATAGTAGAGTAAAAAATAAATGCTGTATAAATGAAGTGTACAATCTCAATCTCATATCATTTACGTAAGACATTAAAAATCAATGTATTGTGTTTATTTCACTATGCGGGCTCTACCGCCAAAAATCAACTCTTTCAATTTTTAATTGGAGACAAAATAAATTATATAGACTTATAGAGTATACTGATCTCAATATTCTTTGATTTCTACACTTTTTCCTCTACAATCAATAGATTTTGAGAGACAGGCAAAATGAGATTTTCAAGTACATAATGACAAAACTGAATATTCAACTATTTTCAACCAAACTGACAATTATTAATAGTAGCTGACTATAAATTGTATTTTATTATGGTATTTCATCATACCAATTATTATGCAAAGCCTCATTAAAAAATATCAACTAGTATTAAAGTTATGATCAAAAAGAAATGTCATATTCAGTGGGAGACATACATACCATGGACAGATTGAAAATATAAAATCTCTTTTTCATTATAACTTTAGTACTAGTTGATATTTTTTAATGAGGCTTTGTATAATAAATGGTATGATAAAATACCATAATATAATACTATTTATAGTCAGCTACTATTAATAATTGTCAATTCGGTTGAAAATAGTTGAATATTCAGTTTTGTCTTTACGTACTTGAAAATCTCATTTTGTCTGTATCTCAACATCTATTGATTGTAGAGGAAAAAGTGTAGAGATCAAAAATATTGATGACAGTGTACTCTATGAGTCTATATAATTTATTTTGTCTCAAATTAAAAATTGAAAGAGTTGATTTTTGGTGGTAAAGGCCGCGTAGGTGAATCAATACAATACATTGATTTTTAATATCTTACATACAAGATCTGAGATTACGATTTTACGCAGCATTTTGTATGAGTATATAGTTCAATAAAATTATTAGAGTAACATGATCTGATAGCTTTTTTAAGAATTGGATAAAAATTACTTCATTAAATTTTTTTGAAAATACGATATTTTTATAAAGGTTAACAATATTCAATTTTCGAAAAATCTTAAAGTTAATATAACATTGATCAAAGAGACTTACCATTTCGTAATTTTTAAAGAATATCTAACACAATTCTGGTTCCTTTGCTGCATAATGGCACTGTACAACGTAAAAAGGATCAATCCTAATGCACAAACACCAAAAACAACAAGACATAGTCGTCGGATGCGACAAGAGCTTCCAACTGATTCGGATTCAGAAGATGAATATACTCGGTGGAGGGCTGAATATGCGGTTAGTACAAGCCTTTCACCGATAAGTAATGCAACAGCAATATAACTAACATGAATTTTTTTCATTTTAGGAAGTCCAAAGAATTGAAAACAGCGACGGTATTCTTAACGAGTATTCAGCGGAAGACTTACCTGAAGTATTGTCTGATGCATCACATAGAGCCAATCATGTACACGAACATTCAACTAACGTAAACGAAACATAAATATATTACAACTAATATGTCATTTTATAAATTGTTCCTATTCCTATATTTTTGGTTTAATTTTTTTTTCAGGGCTCACATTCGATGTCTGAAGATGCCCAATCATCGCATGATGAAACAGTTGGGATAGATGGATCACCAGAGGGTACAATATCTGAATTCGAGGTAAGCTGATTCATTCATTCATCATAGTTTTAAGTGAGCCATGAGTCGATACCATTTTTGTTACCCATGGCTAGCCAAATGTAGCTTTTGTTTTTTCGCAAAATTCATATTAAAAGTTATATATTCCTCAAACAGACTCAACGATTTTCCATTTTGAGTAACTTTTGATGTTTTTTTTTACTTGTGTAGCATAACGTGTACTTACATACTTTATGAAAATAATGTAGAACAAAGTTGAAAAGAAAACATCATTGTTGATTAAGTTTTCCCACGACTCGAAAAATATATTTTCTCGAATAATATATCTAGATTAAAAATTGAATATGTGTTAAAGGAGGCAAGAATAAATTTGCGAGATCTATTACTTAACCACTTAGACGATAAGTACGCTACTGAGGAAGACCTCTTCGATTATCAGGAAATAATTGATGATCTCTCGTTGCCAAACGACGGTCCTGGGAACAGACTGCGTCAAATATTAGTCGATGAGGACGCGAATGATGTTATGAACGCGCGAGTGAATGTATCGAAAGTCGAAATTTTATGATCAGTTTTTAAGTTCTCTACGGTTTACAATTTACCGCAATCGGCGATTGCTCACTTATTTAAAATGTTGAACATATTTTTCGATATAGCTGAGTTTCCTGAATCTCGATATCTAATCGATAAAATTTTCAATTGTGACACTGATGTCGATTATTATACATTATGTCCTCGTTGTAAAGATTTCGTGGAAAGATTCGATAGCGAACAAGACCGACTTGCTGTTTGTCGTACATGTGGTTTACAATTTTCTTTAAAAGATCCTACATACACAGACTTTTTTTGTTTTATTGATCCAGAATGGGAGATAGCTTAATATCATAAAGATAATTGGTCTCATTTCGAGTCTGCTGTTAGAGCCCGATCACGCGATAACGACGATATCAATGAATTTCATAGCGGACTCGTTTCTAAAAAATTGCGACAGTGGTTACCATATCACAAAAAAGATCGATTCGTAACTGTTATGTTCAATAGTGATGCTTCACCGGTATTTGAAAGTTCTGCTGTTACGCCAATTCAAATAGAGATTATGGAACTGCCATATAAAATAAGAAATTTGCACCCCATTGTTTGTGGTTTATATTTTGGAAAGACAAAAATTGACATGAACATATGTTTTGAGCCATTCGTATGTAAAATGAATGTATTCGCGGATGAAAGAATTCAATGTAGTGTTAATGGTACTGTTTACACTGTATACTTATACGCAATATGCTGTTGCGTCAATGCAGTAACCCGCGCTTCAATGCAAGGACTCAACCAATTTAACGGCTACTTTGGATGTAATTGGTGTTTGCACCCAGGGTATTATATTGCTGTAGGTAGAGGCGGAAGTGTCAAATATGTAGTAGTAAATGACGAAATACCTGATAGAACTGACGCAGATACTCGTGAACACATGAGACAGGCTGTTGAGTCGGAAGATACCGTATTTGGCGTTAACAATTAATCAATACTGATATTTTTGACGTATTTCAATATTATATTTGGCTTTGTTCCTGATCCATTGCATTGCATCGATTTAGGAATCGGAAAACAGAGTGTTAAATATCTTGTAGATGTTAGACATTTACCTTGTTCGTTGACTAACGCGGAAATCGAAGCAATAGATAATCTTCTTCGAGCCTTTCTGCTGCCTTCAACATTGGTTCGTAATTCTCGCTCTATAAGGGATCGAAAATTTTGGAAGGGGAAAGAATATCAAAATTGGCTTTTGTTTTATAGTACAGCTGTTCTTTTAACGATACTCCGAATACGAGTTTATGTTATACTTTGGTGTCATTTGATAAGAGCTTATTATATTTTATTGCAAGAAAATATTACAAGATATGAATTACGCGAGGCACATCGTTTACTAACAATTTTTGTATCGCTGTATGAATTTTTTTATGGAAGATCTGCGATGACTTTCAACATTCATCAGCTACTTCACATTGTACAAAGCATGATAAATTTTGGTTCCTTGTATCAGCATTCTGGGTATAGCTTTGTGCATGGGAATGGACTAATTGTAAAACAGGTACAAGCTGCGAAAGGTGTTTTAAGCCAGCTATGTAGAAATGTTGTTCTGCGAAAAAGCCAGTTACTTTTGAAAAATTTCTTGGTGGAAAGAGATCCACATTGTAGTGCTCTTTCATATATTCAATGCTTAGAGAAAATGCTTGTGCAAAAGTGCTAAAAACTAACGTTGGAAGGTATTTTGGAGCACCTGCTCGGCCACCAGTTGACATGATTAGGGAATTTAATTTATCTGACACAGCCGTGATTTATCTTAAGTTAGTCAGAAACGAATGTACTTACTTGTCTTGCAGGGCAATGCGTTTGCTATCTGATAATTCTTTTGCAAAGACAAGCGATAACAAATATATACATATTTATTGTTTTATCATCGATGAAATGCACGGTCAGGAATATACTGTATGTAAGAACATTGATGTTGACTATATTGCTGATATTGAAACCTACGTACCAAACTTCCAAATGAAAAGAATACTTGTTATCGAAGAAAAATTGCGAGTAATAAATACTAGCACCATTAATAAAATATGTGTTTACGTGGATTGTGGCAATGAATCTTACATTTGTGCAGTTCCGAATGTATACTCATACTAAAGGTGTATTTTACAAATCTGCATGAATCTTTTCAACATTGTAAAAATTTTATTTGGATGAAATTGTAAATAAATGAAAATATTGTATTATAATTCTCACAATAAAATACAATTCTATATTCAATTTAAATCAAATATTATTGATTCTAATATAAGTTATTTGTTAAAGGGAGTATTTACAAGCTGCTTTCCTCGGTGGAAATGGTAAAAAAAACGTCATCAAGTTGTTGTGAAAATACATTGTATTTTATGTTTTCTAAAATACGTTATTGCTGGCCCGTGAAATTCGACAGGAAATGACGTCCACTTAATGACGTCATTCTTCTGCTAATAAAATTTAAAAAAACGTTTTATAAAATGACGTCTTTTATGGGAAAAAAGCAGTAAAACGGTTTTATAAAATGACGTGATTTTGCGACAATAACAGCAAAAATGTTTTTCAAAAAGACGTCATTTTTCAAGAAATTAACCAAAAACGATTTATCCGTTGACGTCATTTTCAAAGACAGCGGTATTGAGTTTTATAAACTGACGTCATTTTCTGGACAAAAACCTACCGACAAAAGTTTTTAAAAAATGACGTCATTTTTTGGGGGAAGTTCAGAAAAAGGGTTTATAAAAAAGACGTCCTTTTCGAAGACAGGGCTGTATAGAGTTGTATGAACTGACGTCATTTTTTTGACAAAAACCCACCGACAAAAGTTTTTATAAAATGACGTCATTTTTCAGAGGGAAAGTGATGAAAAAAACTTTTTATAAATGACGTCATAAGTGTTCCAATTTATGACATCAAATCACGTCATTTTTGACGTCATTAAAAGACGTCAGAAAAATACGTCATTATTTTCAATAGGGATAACTTTCTTGATTTTAGTGTTACATTCTACCGGTTACCCCAATGACACAAAAACGTTTTAAAAACGTTTCAAAAACGTTTTCTGGAAAACTTTTAAACGTTGATGACTTTTAGTGAAAAAAACGTGATTAAAACGTTTTTAAAACGTAATATATGTCCGTGCGTAATACGTTTTGAATACGTTTTACAAACGTTTTAAAAACGTTTTTTTTAAAAATTTATACAATAGACCGGTATCACAATACGTTTTGAAAACGTTTTAAAACGGGTGTCACAACGAATTATAGAAATATTTATACAATAGGCCAGTATCACAATACGTTTTAAAAACGTATTCAAAACGTTTTTAAAATGTTTTCAAAACGTATCGTGATACCAGCCTACTGTATAAATTTTTCTAAAAAACAGTTTAATAACGTTTTCAAAAACATTTTCGAAACATTTTTAAATCGTTTTCAAAACGTGTTCTAATAGTTCATTATATAAGTTTTTCTGGAAAACGTTTTAAAAACGTTTTTGAAACGTATTTTGATACCAGCCTATTATAAAAAATTTTCGATAAAACGTTGTGACACCTGTCTTAAACATTTTTAAAACATTTTTGAAGCGTTTTGAAAACGTTCTACTTGCGGACATATATTACGTTTTAAAAACGTTTTAAAAACGTTTTTTTCACTAAAAGTCATCAACGTTTAAAAGCTTACCAGAAAACGTTTTTAAGACGTTTTTAAAACGTTTTGTGCTAATCGGGTATATATTATTTTGCTCTCCTCTCATGTCGACCCCTTACTCCAGCGTACAAAGGTAGTGGACAGTTATAAAAAATATCATTCGAAATAACTCTAATTCAATCCAACCCTGAAAAAGTGATCATTATTTTAATTGAACCCTTTTATTTGTCTCAAAAAGAATTAAAAACTATGTACATTTTTTGGTTTTTTGCAACTTCGACATTTTTAGCAATACTTAATATTATTGCAAAACAATAAGACAAAACGATTGTACGCTTGCTCCTTTTAATTGATCCCTTCTTATTTTTTTAAAATTATTAATTGCAACGATTGCCGAAAATCGTCTCGACTCGCGTAGGACTAAGCGGCGGAGCGTAGCAGCCGCGATCGGTTTGAGAGAGAGAGGGCGCATAGGGGCAATGACCGGGAGGGGAAGGTTTGCTAGCCAGTATGACTGTGACCTTCAGTCCGGCAGCATCATAGCGTGTGAGCATTGAGCGAAGATAGTGTTTACCCTTTTCGAGAGAGATCCAGGGAGACGAGTATATTACTAGTGAGTGCGGAGGCGGAAGAGCATATTGCACAACGTGTGCATTATTAGCCGGAGGTAATAATCGGCGCGGCAAGACAAATCCTCGCACTGTGTAACGTGCGTGGCTCCGATACCTGCCGGAACAGTTACGAGTGGAGTGCCGAGTGCGCGCATTGTTCAACGTGCGCGACCTCGGCAGCTACGAGAGTACGCCCAACAGCCTCAGCAACACCTCCCGCAGCGAATAGAGTGACCGCAGCAGCATCAGCAGCAGTGAGTCACCCATCTGCGGCAGCGGAGAAATAGGCGCAGAGGCGTCAACAGCAACGAGCGAATCGGGTACGGTTGGCCACCGTATCCCCAACAACTCCGCGGTAGGTGCACCATATTGTTAATTGTTGTTAGCGTGCGATCCCGCATAGCGAGTGCGGCGATATTGTCAAGAGCGTGCGAGCGGTTAGTTCGCGGCGATCGCGATTTTCTTTCTCTCTCTCCCCACGATTATATTGTCGGGTGAATCAGCGTGCGTCAGTCTCTCGGCAAATCCCTCCCGTGTATTGGATTAAATTCAATAAAGTGGTTAGTGGTTATTCTTACTAAGATATTGTTTTGACTTTCCTTTGTCCGAGCCGTGTTATTGTTTACGTTCAATTCGAACGCGCCGGTAAAATAGCACGAATCACATAGGTATCGTGAGAAGCGACTTGCCAACCGAGTTATCAGCAGCGGCCTAAGCAAGCACATCAGCGCCTCCAAGCGGAGAGTTCGAGAACCCAACTCCGATTGGTAAGGGAACTCTGCGCAGGCGCACTCCCGGACAAGGTGAATTAACGTGCTTACGGCACGTAGCTAACACGGCGTCGTTTGACCGAACTAATAGACACGTTTAATAGGTTCAAGGTGAAACGGCGGCCTGTTACATAATATATACGTCAAAAACAACAATCAAATTTTATTGTATGTTCTTATTAGAGATCAGTTAACGCGTATGCGTTTCAAACTGGCTCACTTTTTGTTACGGCACCCGTATAAGTTGTGTCTCCTTCTCTATTACTTACTCCTTAGTTTAAAGTTAATGTTTGCTTAAAAAAAATATTTTTATGTTTTTCTTTAGGAAACATAATGCGAGCAAATTATTTGGCTACCATAAGTGAACGGAGCAAATTCGACACTAATGAAAAATGTTTTTTTTTATTAGATTAGACTAGATTAGAAATCTAGAATTAAATTTCAAAAATGTTAAAAGTATAAAATGGATAACCTAGGATTAAAATTTGATTGATGAATATTTAATTAAGATAACTTATAATATATTTATATAATGTTTAGGATTATAATTTTACAATGAGTAAGAAAGATAATACATTATATTACTTCCATGATAATCAAATTCTCTTAACAAGAAAATATCTGAAAAATAAAATTATATGTGATAAAACTAAATATGAACATTATATTCAAGAGCGACTTCAAATACTTGATTTAATTAAATGCACTATTGATATGGGAGAAAGTAATTCTATTTTATTAATTGGTCCAAGAGGTTGTGGAAAAACTGCTGTAAGATTTTGTTTTATTTCAATATAGCAAAAAAAACAGGAATAATTATTTGATAAATTATTCATTAATATTTTATTCATTAATATTTTCAGCTTATTAATAGTGTACTAAAAGAAGTATTAGACATTAAAAACTTTGAAGAAAATATTATAGTTGTCAAACTTCATGGTTTAGTTCATACCGATGATCGATTGGCTCTAAAAGATGTTATTAGACAAATGCAATTGGAAAATGTATTTAGTGATATAGATTTTGGTACATTTGCTGAAAATTTGAGTTTTCTTATAGAAAGTTTAAAGTCAGGAAACAGAAAATGTTCAAAACCAATCATTTTTATTCTTGATGAGTTTGATTTATTCTGTGTGCATCATAATCAAACTTTATTATACAACCTTTTTGATGTTGCACAATCAGATAGAGTAAGAGTGAAATTTTTAATAGCTTATAGTTTTAAATGATATGAAAACGTGAGATTTGTATCAAACATATAATGTTTCAGGCTCCTATATGTGTAATTGGAATAACTTGCAGATTAGATGTAATAGAATTGCTAGAGAAAAGAGTAAAGTCAAGATTTTCTCATCGACAAATTTTTTTGTATCCTGGTAATATTTCTAGTTTGAAATCATCTGCATTTGAAAATCGTTTAGAGCTTTTTCAAGATCTTCTTAGCTTACCCCTTGATGAAAATATTAGTAAAATAAGTCAGACAAATAAAATTGATAACATGGGTTCCAAGTTTCAAACTCAATGGAATAAGCAGATTGATAATTTAAGAAATAATATAAACATTGTTAATCTTTTAAAACAAATGCATTGTTCTGATAGATCTGAAAAAAAATTCAGAAATTTTTTGGCCATAGTTGTTTCTATTCTTGTGACAGTCCAGCAAGTATTTCATGTTGATGATTTTATTTATGCAAGTAAAATCTTTTCAAGAAATGAAAAAGTTTTAATATTGCAAGGTTTATCTATTCTGGAAATGTGTTTGGTATTAATTATTAATTATTGTAAGGAACTTTGTAAAGAAAAATAATTATATATTATTGTATTTAAAGGTTATAGCTATGAAACATGAAACAGAAATCTATAATAATGGACTCATGAACTTCGAAAAGATCTGGAGTAGATATTTAAAATTTGGTAGTCGAAATTCCTCAATCGAATCTGTACAACGACCTGTTGTGATTAAAGCATTTGAACACATCAAAGTAAGATTGAAAATATTTTCAATTTTACTCCATATTAATAGTTATTCATTTTACATTAAATTATAATTTTTTAGGCTCTGGAATTGATTGTATCAGTTGGATTAAATCAAAGAAATGAAAAAGAATATCAATCTTATAAATTTACATTGACATCTCAACAAGTTATGGAAGCAGTAAAAAATTACAATGGTTTACCTACTGATGTAACACAGTGGGCAGATAGTAGTATATTATGAAAGATAATATACTACATTACGATAAAAGTGCGGAAAAGTAGATTCTTGTCTCGTGTAGCGAGGGTGGAAAGATACACGAGACGAGAAACTCTTTCCCGAACATGTGCCGTACCGCATTTTTTTATACGAAGTGTGGAAAGTACGATTTTCAACGCATGTTTTCTGCCGAGCGTGCGGGAAAGACACACTTTGCGCACGGAGTATCGAAAAAGTAATTAAATAAGTTCATTGTTAGGATATTTCTAGGAGCTATATGCCACATGATATACTTTGGAATATAGAAATTCACGCTAAAGTCTGAATCACGAGTGTATTTACAGATGAGTCTAAATAAAAATATGCTGTTAATATCAGTCAAAAAATTATTTAGAATTAATGTCTCATTTAATTATTTCATCTTGAAAATTTATTACATTTATTTATTGTAATAACTTATGGTATTAGATATACCTATGTATAAGATGCATCTGTTTTCAGAGTTAAAATTGAGATATATGTATGAGAGGTACTGAAACTACTTTCTTCAAATGTAAATGAAGTTTTTTAGGATACATAAGTTATGAATATCTATTCTTTTTAAGTTTGAGCATGTACAAACTATATTTTAAGATATTATATTGGACATAAATTATACAAGAATTATTCATATTAAGAATAAACTAAGAATATATAAGGAAATCCACGGAACCTTTAAGTTTGATACTTGACTTTTCATCTAGAAAAAAATTTTTTTAATAGATATAAAGTATGTAGACTTTAGGTTTTTATGCCATACTAGTTAATTTAATGATATTCATTTGTCCAAAAATGATTTGTTATGTTTCAAAATCTTTAAAAAAAATGATTAAGAAATCTCTAGGTTTTCAAGTGATACTTTGAATTTTTTTCGACTTTTGCTTATAACTGTGGTGTCCCACGCGAGGTCGCTACTGACACCACTCGGACGCCTGTGCCTTCAGCAGTGCTAACATCCACGCAGCGGGGAAATGGCTGTGGTGGCGCTCAGGTGCTGGAGGAGAAGACAGAAGCTCATGAGGCTGATCGGAGCAAACCTTCCCTTCTCCTTCCGGACGTCGACCAGCGAACTCTCGCTCTCGCGCACGCAGTCGGGTCGATTATTACAATTGCCTCGTGGCAATTCAGTTCTGTAATTCCGCTCGTTTTCGACTTTGATTTTGTGCTCCGTCCTGTTGGAAATCCCTAATAATAAATATTGTAATTCTACCCAGTTCACGCCTATCTTCATTTCTGTTCCAACCGCTTGAAGAATTACTAAATTGGTGACCCCGACGTGATTTTCAACTGGATAAAAAAAAAGAAAACGACAATTATCTTTCTTTTTTAAGAACCCGTAAGTACTTCTGTGAGAGCGTGACCTGAGAAGTGTACCTTCTGAGTGAGTGCCGAAAACCGCAACCACGGAGAGAACGCCGCCGGTCTCCGAGAGGCGACAGAGACAACGATCTCTCGCCGATCTGAGCACTCTGTCTCGTGACGAGAGCCCACCTATGTCGGATCCTCCTCCGCTCAACCTCTCCTCCGATATGGCCGCAGGGCCCAGCAACGCAGCTGCTAATTTGAATCCGTCAGATCCGGCAAAGGTCGAGGTTGTTCGCCACGTAGCGGTACGCACTCCGCCGTTTTTGAAAGGCAATCCTGAGGCATGGTTCATCCAATTGGAGTCGGTTTTTCAATGCCACAACATCCGTTCTGACCTTCAACGATACCATGTCGCCGTCGCGGGTCTAGACAGCGAAACCCTGCAAGATTCGCTTGACGTGCTCCAAAATCCACCGAGCACAAGTGCGTACAACCATTTGAAGGAGCAGGTCATTCGGCGTTACGGTGACACGGCAACCAAGCGCTTGCATAAGCTCTTCTCCGGACTTACCATGGCGGATCGCTCGCCGTCGCAACTGCTCCGACGTATGCGCGCTCTCGCCGGAGGAAGTGTCGGCGATGATGCCATTTGCGTACGTTGGCTGGATCTGCTTCCTACTACTATCTCCAGAATGCTGCGCGTGGTGCCCAACGCTACGCTGGACGATCAGGCCCTGACCGCTGATGAGTTGTGGGAGACGAGTCCTGACGTCTGTGCAATTCAACGGCCCGTTCCAACGCCCCCAGCACCAGAGGTTGTGCAAGCTACGCCCGACGCCATCGCGGCCGAATTAGCCGCTTTGCGAGCCATTGTTTTGCAGCTTGTAATTACGAGTGGTCGCATTCTGGATCGCCTGCCAAATGCCAGTGGCCGAGCAAGATCCCGCACACGTGCCCGCTCAACAGGCTCGAGAACTTCTGGAGCAGCTGCAGCTTCGTCGGCAAATCCGTCTTGGTGCTAATACCACCAGCGGTTCCAGGCGAACGCGGAGCGTTGCCGACCGCCATGCGGCTATCCAGCCAACAGGTCGACAAACTAGAGGCGCTGCCGCACGTTTTGGCGGTACACGGTAGCGCTTCTCTACCGCCTTCCGACGTCCGTCTGCACGTCCATGAAAGCTCGCTCGGCTGTGCCATGCTCGTCGACTCCGGATCAGTGATGACCTTGCTGCCCCGACATCTCGCTACTGGTCCGTTGACACGCAGCGGCTTGCAACTGATCTCGGCGAATGGGACCCCTATCGCCACTTACGGCAGGCGATTACTCACCATCACGCTGGGCCTTCAGCGTGACTTCCAATGGCCGTTTACCGTCGCCGACGTACCGGTACCTATCCTGGGAGCGGACTTTCTAAACCACTCTGGACTGTTGGTGGATGTGCGCCGGCGCCGCTTGTTCGACCCGAGCACCGCCCAGGAGTCCGTTGCACAGTTGCGGAAGGCCATAATCCACGGAGTAGCTACTATTGCCGACACTGCCGACTTACCGCACCGAGCCACCTACGATGGCCTGCTCGCCGAGTACGCCGATCTCGCCGAGTACGCCGATCTCGCCGAGCCCTCGGAGAAGGGCGCCTCTCTTCAAGGCACTACCGTGGTGCACCGAATCGTCACGACTGGTCCTCCCGTCTTTGAACGCCCACGCCGGCTGACGGGCGAACGCTCGGCTGCTGTCAAGGACACCATTAAGCGCCTCCTGCGACAACGTGTCGTCCGGCCATCTTCCAGTCCTTGGGCGAGTCCTTTACACCTCGTGGCGAAGGCCACTGGAGGCTTCCGAGTCACGGGCGATTTTCGACGCCTCAATGCCGTCACGATGCCGGACCGATATCCGCTGCCGGTCATTGAGGACCTCCTGGAGGAATGCGATGGGTGCTCCGTGTTCTCCGTTGTCGACCTGCAGCAGGCTTATTTTCAGGTACCCATGGCTGCCGAGGATATTGCAAAGACTGCAATCACGACTCCTATCGGCCTGTACGAATTCCTGCGCATGCCTCCCGGCCTGAGGAATGCATCACAAACCTTCCAACGGTTCATGGACTCGCTGCTGAGGGACATGCCGTTCGTGCGGAGCTACCTCGACGACTTATTCGTGCGATCCTCGTCTCACGAGGAGCACCAGCGGCACTTACGTCTTCTTTTCGACCGACTAAGGGAAGCCGGCCTGTCCTTCAAACTGGAGAAATGCCAGCTGGGACTTCCCCGCGTTAATGTCCTCGGATATGAGTCTCTGCTGGCGGTATCAAGCCACCAGAGAGGAAAGTCGTGGCCATCCGCGACTACGCCAAGCCCAGATCGCCCAGAGCCTTGCGACGGTTCCTGGGCATCGTCAACTTCTACCGCAGAAGTCTACCGCATGCTGCTCACATCCAGGCTCCGCTAAACGAGCTCCTTCGAGGCTTACCCAAAGGAAGCCGACGATCCTTGGTCTGGAATCCAGGAGCGGAGCGAGCCTTCGAAGACGCCCGACGCAGTCTAACCAAGGCTGTCGAAACCACCTTCCTGTCGCCGACTGCGTCTCTCCGTCTCGCCACGGATGCATCGAGCTCTGCCATCGGTGCCGTACTTGAACAATGCCCCCACGGGCGCGGGGAGTGGCAACCAATTGGCTTCTTTTCCCAGAAGCTCACGCCTGCCGAGACCCGATATAGCACCTATGACCGGGAACTACTCGCCGTCTTCCGTGCGGTGCAGCATTTTCGACGCATCCTGGAAGGTCGCCCCTTCACGGTACTTACGGACCATCGTCCGCTGACCTTCGCCGCCTGTCAACCGTCTACGAAGGCATCTCCGCGCCAGCAACGACAACTGGACTTTCTGCTGCAATTTGACGTCCAGCTTCAACACGTCAACAGCTCGGACAATGTCGTAGCAGATGCACTTTCCAGGACGCTCGAAGACACCACGCCGCTCGACGCTCCTGCCGAACCTTGCCTCTCTCCATCGCTCTCAGCGCAGGACGCCGTCTGTGCCACGGTCGACATGCCGACCACTCTCAGCCCAGAGGCAATAGCCAAGGCGCAAGCTTGCGACGACGAGCTGCCGGGTATTGCCGAGAACAGCTCTCTGAGTCTCCAACGCCTGCACATCAATGACGTAGAGCTGCTGTGCAACGTCCACGATGGACGGGTCCGACCGTTTCTACCACGCTCGCTTCGCACCGCTGCCTTCAACGCGGTGCATGGTCTGAGCCACCCGGGAATTCGCGCAACAGTCCGCTCCGCAGCGGAACGCTTCGTGTGGCCTGGCATACGACGCGACGTCACTCATTGGGCGCGCAGCTGCCTGCAATGCCAGCGCGCCAAGGTCTCCCGGCACAATCGCGCGCAGCTTGCCACTTTTCAGGAGCCCAACAACAGATTCGAGCACGTCCACGTGGACCTGCTTACGCTGCCATTGGTGGGGAATTACCGGTACTGCCTCACGATGATAGACCGGTTCACCAGATGGCCTGAAGCAGTACCACTCGAAGACATGACCGCACAAACCGTCGCCAAGGCCTTTTTATCTTCCTGGATTGCCAGCAAGGGCTGTCCTGCTACGATCACCTCGGATCAGGGGACACAGTTTAAGTCCGCTCTCTTCACAGCGCTCACTCAGATCTCGGACACGACCAGAATACACACCACGCCATATCACCGCCAGGCGAATGGCATGGTGGAAAGATTCCATCGCACTCTTAAAGCGGCATTAAGGTGCGCACCAACTCTTTGGCCTGAAGCCTTGCCGCTAGTGCTACTTGGGTTGCGTAACTCCCTCAAGGAGGACCTACAAGCGTCACCAGCGGAGATGACCTTCGGCACCACACTTCGTCTTCCTGGCGATTTTTTCATCTGCAACAACCCGCCTGCAGATCCTTGTTCCTTCGTTGGTCGACTACGCGCGACTATGAGGGCCCTAGCTCCTGCGCCTGCCACGGACCACTCGCTCCATCGACCGTTCGTCTTCAAGGACCTAACCACCTGCTCGCACGTGTTCCAGCGAGTTGATGCTGTGCGGAAGCCACTCGAGCCGCCTTACACTGGGCCGCACAAAGTCGTTCGACGCGTCAATGATAAAGTGTATATCATTGACGTCAACGGCACCGATAGGGCAATCTCCACTGACGCTCTCAAACCGGCGCACCTCAGCAAGGCCACTGCTGATGCACTAGCATCACGCTCAATCTCTGATGCACGACCAGTTTCTCCGCAGTCTCCGC